ATTTCTCAAAATAATTTTTATTCCCTATGTATAGATTGAAAGCTATCAAATTTGATTTTTATTGGCTTTATATAGAAAAAAAACTCTGATTTATGATATCCACCATACATTTTTATGAGAAATAAATTGGATCTTAGTCACATATTCAAGAAACTTCAACTCCTAATAAAAAAAAATAACAGTTGTAAATCTTTCTAAATATCTCGTGTTTCATTCAAAGAATTTTTATTGAGTTATTTTTAGTGAAAACGGTTTTGGTCTTTATTGATTTTTTTACGAAGTAGACCAACAGGGGGTGTACATCTAAAACCTAAGGTCATAATAAAATTTTATTGGCATTCTGGTCTGAGATCGTAAATATTGAAAGCTTTCGACCTCTCGTATAATACGCCTTTTTTGAAATTTCGTTCGTATATTTTTTCAAGCTCAATAATTTAATGATTTCAAGAGTTTTTCAACTAGGCCGTTTAATTGCGGTGCATTCTCTGCAAAAAAAAAATGAAAATAAATAAACAAGGATTATCTGATTTTTCTTCATTTTACGTACCAAGTGGTTTGAATGGAATTGAAAAACTATCAGCATTATCAACATTATTTTTAGCTAGATTTATCATTTATGTATATATAACATTCGTGTGCAAAATCGATTTTAATTAAAAATACATTTATAGCATGATTTTGAAATTGAAGTCAGTTAGCGAATCGTAATTTGATTAATTGTTCGATTTTGTAGATAAAAAAAAATTGTAATGAAATTAATGTTAAAAGATAATTGCATTATTAATTACTAAAATTGACATGAATCAATTGAAATAAATAGTTAAAAAAAAAAATCTCGCCAAGTAGAACTGAATGCGAACGTATCGATCCGCAATTCAAAGAATATTTAGTATGCCATTCGAGTTTCTACTGAACAATCAGACAAGGAAGCAGCAGACAATTTTAAGTGGTGTACAAAGGACTACTGCACTGAATAAAAAGCTTCCAGAACATTTCTCCTAACTTGAAGTAGAAGATTCATTTGATTAATGAATTCTCCCAAGGAACGAGAAGTAAATTCAAAAAAGATGATAAACTTTATTAGCGCATTTTTAATTTAAATCCATAAAAGCACATTTGCGTTCAAAAGGACAATAAGTAATCTTTAAAGAAACATAAGGAGGAAAAACATTGTCTTTGAATTAAATTGTAATTTATTTTCTTTCCTTCAAGTTACGTTTATAAGAACCGTACATTATTCTTTGATTATTATTCATTATATTTTCATTATTAAATTTTAATAAAAGTTAAATATAATATAAAATATATTTTAGAGAATGGAGGTAGGATATTAAGTAGAATTTTCCTTAGACGGTAACTTGTTTTTTCTTGTTGTATCCCCGGTGGGGTTAGATATTGGATTTAATCGTAATTTCGTTCAGTGTAATTTTAAAAAATAAAGTTCAAACTTCAAAGCTTCGGTATATTAAATTTCTGAGGAATGCATGATTCATTCAATTATTAAAATTATACAGAATCGCAAATATTTCGAAAAAAAATTGTATTTGTAACCAAAATGTATATCGAGTTATGAAATTCAAGTTTGAGTACCAAAAAAATGTATCTGACTAAAATTGTTTTCAACTACTGTTTTTCATATTGACAGAATTTAATAAACAATTGTGTTCGATTTAAATTTATTTCAACTACTGATTTCCACATTAAAGAAGTTTAGAAAAAAATGAGTATGATTTTAAATTTACTTAAACTACACGTTTCTAATTTTCAAGGGTTTCGATAAATTAAATCTTATTGAAATTTCCTTCAATTACCTGACTTTAAATGTAGAAGAGATGGAAAATGTTATGTCTGACTATTGTTTACTTAAACTACTGATTTTTTCTTTGCAAATGTTTAAGAAAATTATGTCCGACTGAAAATTTACTCTAGCCACTAATTTTTACATTTCAATAATTTAAAATACATATGACTGATATAAATTTACTTCAACTACTGATTCTCAGTTTTTTAGAGGTCAGAAAAATTTTGTCTGACTAAAATTTAATTTAACTACTGATTTAAAATGTGTAAGTGCTAGGAAATGTTACACGTGATCAAAATTGACTTAAACCACTGATTTTTACTTTTCAAGAGTTTAATAAAATTATGTCGTACTGGAAATTTACTTTAACTACTAATTTTGAAAGTTTAAGACTTTATAAACATTAGTGAGACTGAAAATTTACTTAAACTATTGAATTTAAATATGCAAGAGCTAGAAAATTTTATATCTGACTATTATTGACTTAAACTACTGATTTCTATTTCTCAAATTTAAGAATCTTGTGTCTGACTTAAAATTTACTTAAACTACTGATTTCCACATTAGTGGAGATTAGAAAATTTGTGCCGATCCTAAAATTTACTTTATCTCCTGAATCTAAATTTATAATAACCGAAATTTGTGATGTCTGACAAAAATTGTCTTTAACTACTGATCTGTCATATTAGAGAAATTTATAGAAAGTGGGTTTTAGTTAAAATTTACTTTATCCACTGATTTTGACATTTTAGTAGTTTAGATGCAATAAGTCTGACATAAATTTACTTTAACTACTAATTTTCAGTTTTCTAGTGTGTAGAAAATGGTTTTTAATTTCTCTTGGTCTAACTTTGAAAATAAATCAATAAAGACAAAATCTAATTTCACTAAAAATAACTCAATAAAAATTCTTTGAATGAAATACGAGATAGTTAAAAAGATTTACAACAGTTTTTTTTACTCGGGATTGAAGTTTCTTGAATATGTGACTAAGATTCAATTTATTTGTCATAAAAATGTAGTGTGGATATCATAAATCAGAATTTTTTTTTATATAAAGTCAATAAAAATCAAATTTGATAGCTTTCATAGAGAATAAAAATATTTTGAGAAATTGGAAAAAGAAATTTTAATTGCAAAATATTTTAGTAGAAAAATAACAGATGTTTGACTAGAATTGACACTAACTAGTAATCACTCAATTTTTGGTGTGAGTGAAACTTACGTGAACTAATAATAATGTCTTTAAAAGAATTTAGAAAAATTTTGTCTGACTTAATATTTACTTTCACCGCTGACTTTAAATTTTTCAAGAGCATAAAAAACCTATCTCTGACAGAAAGTAACTTCAACTACTGATTTTTACATTAAAATACTTTGGAAATGTTTTCTCTCACTTAAAATTTATTTTATCTAATGATTTTGTCTGACTAAACTTTACATAAACTACTGATTTTTATATTAAAGGAGTGTAGAAAAATTGTGTCTGACTTAAAATTTACTTAAACTATTGATTTTTAAAGTATAAATGACATTTCAATTTTAGTTTACATATTTACAATTTGTTTTAAACTGCTTTTCACTCAGACCACAAATAAGTAGTTCGTGTAAATTTTAGTCAGACGTCTGTTACTTTTCTATTAAATTATTTTGCAATTAAATTTTTTTTTAAATTTCTCAAAATAATTTTTATTTCCTATATATATAGATTGAATGCTATCAAATTTTATTTTTATTGACTTATATAGTAAAAAAAATTAGATTTATGTTATCCACTATAAATTTTTATGAGAAATAGATTGGATCTTAGTCACATATTCAAGAATCTTTACCTTTTAATAAAAAAATAACTACTGACTTAAAATGTACAAGAGCTAGAATATGTTATCTCTGACTGTCTCTGACTAATGTTGACTTTTATTACTGATTTCAATTTTTAAGAGATATAAAAAAATTAAGTGTTCAGGAAAATTATGTTAGACTGATAATTAATTTTACTTAATAACTAATTTTAATATTTTAGGAGTTTAGAAATAATATGTCTGACATAAATTTACTTAATCTACTGATTTTCAGCTTTCTAGAATTTAGAAAAAGTATGTTTGATTAAAATTTCCTTCAACTACTTATTTCAAATGTACAAGAGCTGGGAAATGTTATGTTTGTCTCTTGTTGACTTAAACTACTGATTTTCACTTTTCAAGTGTTTAAGAAAAATATGTCCAACAAAAAATTTACTTTAACCACTAATTTTGACATTTTTAGAGTTTAGAAGCAATATGTCTGACATAAATTTACTTTCACTACTGATTTCCACTATTCTGGAGTTTAGAAAAACTATGTCTGAGTAAAAATTTATTTATTATCCGTTGTTTTGCAATTTTAAGATTTTAGAAACACTATGTCTAATTTATAATTTACTTAAACTACTATTTTCGAAACTTTAGGAGTTTAGAAACACTAGTCTGACTTAAATTGACTTCAACTACTGATTTTTCCTTTTTATTTTGACATTTTTAGAGTTTAGAAACACTGTTAGACTAAAAAATGCAATGTCTGACTAAAGTTAACTTAAACTACTGATTTCCACTTTTCAAGTGTTTTTAAGAAAATTATGTCTGACTGAAAATTTACTCTAACCACTAATTTTAATATTTTAAGAGTTTAGAAATAATATGTCTGACATAAATCTACTTGAACTACTGATTTTCAGTTTTCTAGAGTTTAGAAAAATTATGTCTGACTAAAATGGTCTTTAACTACTGACAAGAGCTAGTAACTGTTATGTCTGACTATTGTTGGTTTAAACCACTAATTTTTATTGTTCAAGTGTTTAGGAAAATTACGTCCGACTGAAAATTTACTCTAACCACTAATTTTGACATTTTTGGAGTTTGGAAGCAATATGTGAAGTTCCTGTAGTTAAAACATACAGCAATAGCAACATAAATAAACTGAAATGTAAATAAACCCGCTTTGAATTAATACTTCGTCTCTGACTGATTTTGATTTTTGATCCATAACTCGCATATAATTATCATCACAAATGAGTTCTGTTTATTGCAGTAACTTTGAGTAAATATGAAATAACGAAAACTGTTGAAAACAAACATTTAGAGATAGAATTTAAAGAAATTAATTTACAGAGAGAAAATAATGACGATATTGTATATATATGTATTTTGAGAGAAATACTCACTATATTCAAGCTCGTCGTTTTCTGCAAGGTGTGTAGTGGCATTGTGAATGAGCTGGCTCGTTTCTGTGGTGGGGGAGGTAACCACAGCAACAGCGACGTGGGTTAAGGCCGAGGACGGATTAGTTGGAATTGTCGCGCTACTGCTAATCGTTGCTCCTACCACAGTCGGTGTAATTGTTGAGGGTGTTGTTGGAAAACTCATACTTCCTGTAGATTGGAAGGTTTCCGTGGTATTCTCCTGCATTTTTCACAACACACCTTCACCTTCTTCTTTCTTTTTTATTAGATCACCTCACACCATTCATCTCATCCGATAGCACCCTTTAAAGATCATTTTTCACTTTTTCTTTTTAAATAACTTGGGAATTTAAAAAATTATCACTTCATTTCAAAGTCTCGTCACTTTCATATCTCAACCACGTATAATCATTATAACAAAATTTTTGTCCTTTTTTTTGTTAGGAAATTTTTGAAAATTTATTTATTTTTGTATAGAAAAATATCTCCCTCGTGATGTTGCTTTCATTTGTTGGTAATAAAGACACGTGTACTCATTTTTCATAATTTCAACCTTTCATTTTCTGATGTTCGTTATCTTGGAGCAAGTATAAAATTACTTGGAAAATCCCAAGGAAGCTCTTCGTTCCGTTTCGGTGTCCTTTTCTCGTTGGATTTTCCTCTTTCACAATTTCCTTTATACTCACTTTCCCCCAGGCTCTCATTGATGTTACAGCGTTAGGAAAACCACTTGGTTCTTAGATCTCGGTTGATCTAAGCACGTAATCGCACTCCTCTTCATTGCAATAATGCGTTTCTTCCTTTATTGCACTGGAATTGCACTGGAATTCTGCAACAAAAATGAAAAAAAACATTTTTTCTTTCTTAATTGTTGTTCAAAATTGTCAATTTCATATTTTTTTGATATATTTTTTAAAACTAGTCTCTAAAATCTATATTAATAATAATCGTTGCATTCCGGATGTTTTCTTGCAGTTTTAAGTTATTTTTAGTTGCTATTTTATTTTTTAATATTTATCATAACTTTTCTTTTTTGAATGTTTTCAATTTTCAAATTAATGAAACTAGCAATTATTTTCAAAAATAAAATGCATTTTTCTAATTTCAATGATTTTCAATTTTTAATAAAATTTTCCAAAAAGAATTTAATTATTTTTAAAAAAATTTAAATAAAATTGTATGCAAACATTTAATTATTTTCATAAATAATAAAAATTTCACAGAAATTCAATTATTTTTATAAATAATAATTTTTTTTAAGGAATTCAATTATTATTTTCATAAAAAATAATGTAAAATTCTAGAAAATAATAATTGAATTCAAGTGATGAAAATAATTTTTATAAAGTTACAGTAACAATATTCTAAGAATATAAAATAATAATTTTATCTCTCGGTCATCTTTAATTTAAAAAAGTTTTGAATTTGAAATTTTTGAATGTCTTAATTCCTGTGGAAAATCCTATTCCAAAAATAAGATTAAAAAAAAAGGAATTGTGCAAATATTTTTCTTCTTTTTCTAAAACAAAATAATAATTTTGTTTAAAAAATTGTGATTCATGAACAAAAATAATGCAAAATAAATAAATTTTCTATTTCTTAATCACAGTAGTTTAACAATTTTCTAATTTTCTTTAGAAGTAAAGAACAGTAATTAAACAGAATTGCTTTTCAATTAGCAGTTATTATTTAATTAGTAAATGTAATTTGTCATTATAAAACATAAAAAAAAATTTCTGTTTAATTTTAAAAGATAAAATTTTTGTTAAAAAAAATGTTACAATTTTTGTAACTTTTATAATTTAACATATTTAAGATTATGTAAAACCTACGTAATTTTATTAAGAAATTTTTTTAATTAAATTGTATTAAAACTTTTTAATAATAGATTATTGTACGTAACACTTTTATTAAAATGAAAAAAAAATATTATGTAATAAATAAAAATCTCAAATTAAAAGAATGTAATAAGAATAAAGTACACTTTTACATAAACATTCGAAACCTTAGGGAAATGATTCGAAAATTATTTCACGATAAATTGTACGTCTATTTGTTATTTTAAATATAAAACTGTAATTTTGGCAAGAAAAGAAAAACTCATTATGCAAACGGGAACATTTCATGCTGTCTAGTCAAGAGCAATATAGTTTCAAACTCAATGCACGGTTTTCTACCCTCGAATGATTTATGGATAATTTTTCCACAGTTTTGTTATCTGAATTAATGTCATCGACTTGAAATTCTGTCTTCAATTGTATTTTCCGCTTTTATTCCCTTGGACAAGAAATATGTATTCCTTGAATCTTTGAATAAAAATGGTTCTGCAATATAGAGTTCATGTAATCTTTCAATATTCTTCAATTTCTCTTCGTTTTCAAAATTAAAAGACGAAAATTTAAATAAAAAAAATACTTGTCGAGAGATAGAAATATAGAAACAATAGATAATAGATAGAAACAATAGATAGAAACAATTTTATTGTATCAAAAAATAAATATACACCAAAATATTAGAATATAACGATGATAGAGAAAAAACTTCTCTCTAAACTATTTTTTTTAAATATTTACTAAAAAATATTGAAATCAATTTTCACTTTTTTAAATTAAAGCTGTCCATTTTTCTTCTTTTCAATTAAAGTTTTATTTTATTCACTACATATTGAAATTCCATTTATTCAAAAACTCTACACAGAAGAATGAATACTTGAAATAAAAAAATATTTAAAAAATTAAATTGATTCGCAAAATTTCCAAATAGATTTTCCATCGTGTACACTCGTAAATAATTAATTGATGGAGAAAAGCATTGTGTCTCATTAGGGAAGGACTACTATTTAACGAACCGCCATTGCTAATTGATATAAGGGTACAACTGAAATCAGATTGTCAATTGAACGCAAGAGGGATTGTGAATTCATTAAATCCCATCAAAGCTGATTGATGCAGTGTGCTATACGAAACTCTATACATTCCCAGTGGGAAATTGCCAGGGCTGATGATTGGCTAAATATTGGACCAACTCTTATCGCCAATATTGGTCCATGTCCAATGTCAAGACAGGTATTTAAATATTGGACCAATATTGGCCCAAGAATCTAATATAAATTCATTTTTTTCAGTATAAGTATTAAAATTGTTCATTTTTTCCAATTTTATCTCATAAATATAAATTAACAAGTGTCAGTAAATTTAAAAATTTAAAAAAATTAGTTTCACTCAGACAACAGTTTACAAAACACATATCATTTTGAAATCAGTAGATAAAGTGAATTTTAGTCAGACTACAGTTTTTAATGGTCTTTTAATGTGAAAATTAGAAGTTTGAACGAATTTTCATCAGTAGTCAGACAAAATATTTCTAAACTCGTGCAATTTACAAAATAAATAGTTATTGTAAATATTTATTAAGACAGAATTTTTCTAAATTTTTCTATTAAAAAAATCAGTAGTTAAATCAATGTCAATCAATGTTAAGTCAGACATAATTTTTCTAAACTCTAGTAATGTGGAAATCAGTAGTTGAAGTAAATTTTAGCTAGACACAATTTGCTATTACTTTTTAAATATGAAAACCAGTAGTTTCGGTAAATTTTAGTCAGACACAGTTATGTATTACTTTTTTTAATATAAAAATTAGTAGTTCAAGTAAATTTTAAGTCAGACACAATTAATGTGTAATTAGTAGTTATAGTAAATTTTAGTAAGATACAATTTTTCAAAACTCTTGTATACCTACTAAAAATCAGTAGTTGAAATAAATTAAATTTGACACCATTTTCAAGTACTTTTGTAATATGGAAATCAGTAGTTGAAGTAAATTTTAAGTCAGACAAAGTTTTCCATTATATTTTTAATTTGAGAAACAATAGTTAAAGCCAATTTTTAGTCAGAAAAAGTTTTATTCAACTCTTGTATGCTAAAAATCAATAGTCACACTAAATCTCAAAGTGACATAATTTTCCAAGACTTTTGTAATTTAGAAATCAGTAATTGAAATAAATTCTAGTCAGACACAATTTTTTAGTACCTTTGTATTGTAAAAATAAGTAGTTATGCTAAATTTTAAGTCAGACATAGTTTCTACAAACTTTTAAAATAAAAATATCAGTAGTTGCAGGAACTAAATTTCTGGTCTACGCCATTTGCCAATACTTTCGTAATATGGAAATCAGAAGTTAAAGTACATTTTAGCCGAACATAATTTTATGGTACTTTCTTACTTTGAGAATCAGTAGTTAAAGTCAATTTTAAGTCAGGCACAATTTTTCTAAGCTCCTATAATATCAAAATCAGTAGTTAAAGTAAATTTTAGTCAAACACAATTTCTTAGTACTTTTGTATTGTGAAAATAAGTAGTTTTTGTAAATTTTTAGTCAGACATAGTTTCTATAAACTTTTAAAATAAAAATTTCAGTAGTTGAAAACAATTTCTGTTCAACGCCATTTTCCAATACTTTTGTAATATTGAAATCAGTAGTTGAAGTAAATTTTAACCAGATACAGATTTCCATTACTTTTCCAATGTAAAAATCAGTAGTTAAAGTAAATATTAAGTCAGACAACATTTTTCTAAACTCCTATAATATCAAAATCAGTAGTTTACGTAAATTTTAGTCAGACACAATTTTTCAGTTCAATTATTTTGTGAAAATAAGTAGTTTTTTTTTTAAATTTTAAGTCAAACACAATTTCCTTTAAGTTTCGATACCGAAAATCAGTAGTTGAATTGAATTTCAGTTTGTCATAATTTTACAATACTTTCGTAATATGGAAATCAGTAGTTAAAGTACATTTTAGTCCGACACAATTTTATATTCTTTTTTTTCTTTGAGAATAGGTAGTTGAAGTCAATTTTAAATCAGACACAATTTTTCTAAAATATTGTTATTTACTAAACAGTAGTTGAAATAAATTTTAGTCAGACACAGATTTCCACTACTTTTTCAATGTAAAAATCAGTAGTTAAAGTAAATATTAAGTCAGACACAATTTTTCTAAGCTCCTATAATATCAAAATCAGTAGTTTACCAAAATTTAAGTCAGACACAATTTTTCGGTAACTTCGTAATCTGGAAATCAGTAGTGGAAGTAAGTTTTAGTCGAGAATAATTTTTTTCTAACTTCGTAATGTTGAAATTAGTAGTTAAAGTAAATTTATAGTCAGACATAATTGTCTGACTTTTGAATATTGAGAATCAGTAGTTTTCGTTTATTTTAAGTCAAACCTAATTTCTCGAAACTCTTGTAATATAAAAATCACTAGTTAACCCAAACTTAAGTTTTACACAATTTTGCAATACTTTTGTAATATGGAAATTAGTAGTAAAAGTAAATTTCAAGTCAGGTACAATTTTGTAATATTACTGTAATGTATAAATCAGTAATTAAAGTGAATTCCATGAATGTGTTCAACATTTAAAGTCGTCATACGGACTCGTTTGAAGTAACGCCGAGGGCAAAGAGGTGGCATATCAGTGAAATAAGTCGACGCTTAGTCAGCCCTTGCCCAGTATAAGGGGTGTGTTAACTCCACGTCAGACCGCAAGTAATGTAAATTACCGCGCATGCCTCGCAATATTTATAGCCAAAACTTCTCAACGAAATTTTCAAATTTATTGTTAAAATATTTTAGTCTATGTAAATGGAGAAATAAATGAAAAATAGTCAACCATAATATTTAAGTTCTCATTCTAGAAATAAAATTTATTTTTTATATAATAAATTTATTTAGTGTTTTTAATTTTTGTCTTTAAAATATTTTGCCTTTTGGACAGTATTTACCGATTTACATATTGTTAATAAAGTTCATTAGTGCGAAATTAGC